TCTCCACCACCATCATCATCATCAAAGCATCAAATGAGGGAATGGTGTTCATCCCTCCAGGGCCTTGTGGAATCAGTGCAAAGGAGCATTGAAGCTGTTCATGGCAGCGTAACTACTGCCTACACATCTGTGAACTATATAGTGCAAAATTTTTCATTCACACACTTTACATAATGGTAAAAAGTAAACATTAGCGCAGGGAGCTAGGTGGTAAATTTGGAGTGATTTCAGTCACAGCCTCCGTCTCCCTCTAGTGGAGGAGCAGGTGAGGTGCACTATTGTGATCACAGCCTGCTGACTGCAGACACACCTCAGTCCAGGATATCCATACACTCACTGAGCACTTAGGAACACCTGTACAGCTGCTTAGCCATGAACTTATCCAATCAGACGGTCAAGTGGCAGCATCTCAGAATGCAAAACATTATTAGTAACCAATCTGATTAAACCATCCTCAATACATATTAAACAAACTGGTCAGAGAGAAGGACAAACAATGTTTTCTGTATGAATAATGTTTATTTATTGGGCTTTAAAAAAGGAAGTCTACAAATTACAATAAAATAAAAGGAGATGCTAAATACCTGGTGGTCGACAGCCAGTTCAAAAAGTGTAATAACCATATATGGATGTTAAACCTTTAAATCCAGTTAAACCTCTCTTTAAAAAGCTTCACAGATCATACAGAATTTAGAATAAAATGGAGAACCAGTGTATTCCCTTTGTGTTTGTATTGCACCCTGTACAGATCAGAGCCTGGAATTTGTTTTTCTGTGGTGTGTGTGTGTTTTTTTTCTTTTCCTCTGTGTACCACCTATCTGCTGTCTTGGTATAATGACTAAGGCACTTTCTAGATAAATGTTTGTTTTTTTTTCCCCTATTTCCACTTACTTCAAAGTGAAAAGCTGCAAATACGTGGCACACAACTTTACAGAACAGTATTTGTTTTGTTACTAACACAGACAGCATAACACATTCAACCACACCACGTGAATCCCCTGATCTACTGCACTAAGAGCCGGTTTATACCATCACATAAAAACAAGAAAACAATGAATAAAACATTCGTCACCTATCTGCAAAATCAGGTCATTATCTCAGGCTTTTGATAAGTGTGGATACAATAGCAAGACACAACTGCCTAAAGAGATTTTTGAGTTTAACACAGTGTACATGGTACAGAGAGAATGACATGTTCAGATTCTTAGAGCATCCTAAAAACATCATTGGGCTTCTCGTTTTGAGGTTTGTACCATTTCAGTTCACACATGTGACATAACTTTCTTAAATCATTTATAAATTACCATGACAAGACATGGCAAAGACAAATATTAACATTTGTGTTTTTAAAAAAAGCTGCTGTTACATTAAAGCAGCCAGTGGAATACAACAGTTTAACAGTATAGAACCATAAGTTAACACCCTACACCAAGATGTTGACATTGATTATTATTTGCAGCTGTGTTTTCTATGCAAGTATCGAGTAAATTTCTTTTATGATCAATAACGATAAGCCCGGTGTTGGTTTTCATTTATGATGATTTGTATGAAGTGTGCGATGTCTCCTGCAGCTGAGCTTTATATATGTTACGATCATGACTAAAATCAATGCATGATTGTAAAAAGCAGGAAAGAGGCGGCTGTTGAAGAGGTTGCAATGTATAATGACTATCTTCCAGAATTAAACTGCTGCTCCATGTTGTTCCAGTGAGAAATATGAGTGGTCCAGCAGAGGGACCCCTCACTCCAGATAACTGCAGCAGCCGTGACAAGGCATTTGCATAGCTTATCTCTACCCTTTATGAGATGTACTAAATACATTTAACAGCGCATGTGGGCAGCTGCACTGTCATGAGTGCAGCCTGCGGAACATGATAATGCATTCAAAGCACCTGGATAACTTCACTGAGGATACAGTAATGGTAGAAGGTACAGCATGTTGCACGTCAGTTGTAGCTATGACGATCATACACTCACTATATGTGAATGTCAGAACCAGAATGTAAAAATCAAGTCATAGGCGAAAAATCGGCACTGCAGTGAAAATGGAAACCCAAATCTACAGACGTTAACTCAGGTCAGCTTCAAGTACATCACAGCTCATTAAGGGACTGTACAAAAATAAGGAGAGAGAGAAGGGGCGTCAGGAAAGGGGAGTGGTTATGATTTCTTTTTCTTTCTTTTTGCTGGAATGGCGGCATTCCTGATCTATATTTTAGTCCATTCTTCTCTGGTGAGATTTACTGTAAAATTATTAATAATAGTAAATAAAAAAAGAGATTAAATAGTTGCATCAAAAACATGGCTTTTGTGTGAGACAAGTCAAAGCGGCGTATTTTGCCATATGTGGAGGACAACAATCCTCTTTTTGTATCACGGCTTGATTTTCCTCATCACAATCAGCCAGTTTTAAGAGGCAGAATGTCCTGACTCTATGTATGTAGTTATAACTAACTAAATGTTCATTCTTTACTAGCCTACAGCAGCTCCCATCTCAATGTGTTGTACGGCTGGGCGATATATCAAACTATTTTCATTAATTTGAATTTTTGTTCTTGCACAATGTGTAAAATGTCTACATCAGTAATGTAGATGAAAGCTCGCCACATTAGCCCTCCTGAGTCCCAACAGTCCTACAATTTGTCAGGTGATTACTTGCACTATATGTGCATGGACGATGGCGACTCCAGGTATGTTCAAGCAGCTAATAGTCATATCTAAGAGGATTCGACCGAGAAAGGGTTGTACATGCTAATCTGAACTGAAGGTTTGTGTTAATTAATGACACATAAAGTGATGTGTGTGTGGACTGGGTGGCTAACGGCCGTAAGATTGGAAAAATGGAGATATTTAATCTTTGATCATTTTTTTGTCCACATTGCCCCAGGCCTAATGTGTTTTAGCCAAATTTAAGCCAAAAAAAGCTTCCAAAGAAAATATTAATATTAGGAAAAGTGGAAGATAGGGTTCATCCACCCCTCCACACCCGAATCATTTTTAATACAGTCCCGAAAGAAACCTTTCCTCTGTTTGCATAAAATGAAAAATATATAATATTATGCCCCTTTTTAGTGGAAGCCAATCACTCATAGTTCCTTCGCAAACTCCAGGAAAAGCGGCAGGAAAATAATGTCCACCATCAGTCACTGCACTGACTGTATTGCACTCAGGATGACAGCGATGTATTCATCGAAACCCTGAAAAGCTGATATTCAGCATTTCTTTAAACCCCATTAGCCTGTCAACATTCTACTTTTCACTTTCAGCATAATGGGTGATTTTGTTTGCCGCGTCAGCATTCATACAGTATGATCTCTATTACCCTGTTGACATTCTGTGTTTTTTATAATTATAGAATAGGATTTGATTTTTAAGGTCAGGGAAGACGGCTCTCTCTCGAAGTGATGATTTTCAGCTGATGTATACCTGTGGGTGTAAAAGTTGCGGTCATCATGACCTGAAGTAAACTGTTGTGTGTGTGTGTGTGTGTGTGTGTGTGTGTGTGTGTGTGTGTGTGTGTGTGTGTGTATGTATGTATGTATGTATGAGAGAGATTGAGTGTGGAGGGGGGCACTGATGATAATGCTAACATTTGCACTCTCCTCTGCTCCAGTGCACTAACGCTCATCACCACAGCACCAACAGCCAGCGAGAAGGCCACAGCAGCGGAGCAGAGCACTTGACTCCCTTCGGCTCACATTGATCGCATGCCTCTCAATATGCAACACTGACCGACTCGGTGTGAAACCCTGCTAGCTCCACTTTAGCGTGCTTCAACCAGTCTAATATGTGTTTGAAACTCACTTAAAAGCTTCATACGACAAAAAAAAAAACCTCTCCGACACTACTGAGCACGCTTTTGCAGGATGTAAAGCTTAATATTAAGGACACATTAGGTGCTGATGGCTCATTAACTCAAGGGAGGGAGAGAGAGTACAATCTTAAGATGGCAAGAGGAGAGGGGATCATATGCACAGTAGCAGACCATGCCCCTCCCCCCCCACTAAGTGCTGCAGAGATGCGAGAGAATGAGTGTGCATGTGAGGATCTGTGCATAAGAGGAGGGGGGGATGGGGGAAAGAAAGTGAGAGTGTGTGTATTTGTGTGCGAGTGGAGGCAGCTACTACAGTTTGATGATGGCTGCAGATCAAGCGGGGCAAGAGGATGGACAGGACAGGAAATGGATTGGCCGTCGGTGGAGGTGTACGCTCAGCTGGCCAGGTTTCTGTCTGCCTCACCAGCACTTCATGCATTAGGAGCTGGAGGAGGTTCGCACACACAGAAAAGGAGGCGGAGGGGTTAAATTTACTAGGCTCTAACACTGAGTATGACTAGATCTGTTATTGTTCCGATTTTTTTTTTTTTATAAAAACTAAGCAAAGATTAAAGATTTGTCAACATCAAATCCCCAGGGGATTTATATCTCCTCAGTAAGAAAGCTCCTCTTTACCAAGCTGAGGGGGAGGTGATGGTGTTTAGAGCGGTTGCCCAGGAGGGAGATTGACAGCCTGGTGTAGTACAGTGGGACAAGGGGCGTGGTCTCTCCAGGAGTGTCCCAGGACAGGAAAATGTGCTTCTCTTCACGTGTGTCATGCTTATGAGGTCCGACAGCAGCGTGCACAATGCACTCCTCAGCCACAGCACCGTGCCGCTGTGCGCCAAAGCTCCTCATGCACAATCTCACACATACACACTCAAGTGCACACTCACATACATAAAGATAGCTCTCTTATGCACTCACACAAACACACTCACAAAATCCCTCTTTCTTTCTCTAAGCTGGGACCCGCCAGCAGCAAGAACAACCATCCATGGCTTTGACCCTGAATCAAACATTGAGAGGACGAGTTGTTTATGTAGAAAAATAGAGGAATTTCCAGAGGCTGATAAAATGTCTTTGGCACTTCTGAAAACACAGCATACATAAAGGAATCGACACCAAGTATAAAAGGCCAAACTCGAAAGCTCTGCAACCAGAAAAAGATTAAGATAATCCAGGTTCATCCACATATGAGTCTGGCCAGTCCTGGGTGGATTTGAGCCTGAACAGGCCCGTACTCCACCATCTCTCCGTCCACAGTGATCACGCCTTGCGGAGAGATGGGCTCCAGCCGCAGGGCCTTCACCTTCTCGTACACCAGGTGGGGGCAGCCGCACGCCAAGTGGGCGCCCTTCTCCATGGCGAGGAAAAGGCGCAGGAGGGCGGGCCGGGAGATTCCCGCTGTCACGTAGAAGAGATGAATATGTCCGTCGTCTGCCATCGCACCAGGGACTGTCCACAGGTCCTCCGCAAGATGGGACTGGTAAATAGCCAACACCAAGACAAAGTCCTCCTCCCTGACTACTGTCCAGCTCTCTGGGACTGGCTGGTCCAGGCCAGGAAGGAGAGAGTCCACTAGTGCTACGGCCTTACCATCACTCTGGGTCTCGGGTCTCATGGTGGTGATAGCGTTGTTGGAGGATTTGGTGATGGTGTTGTGGTTGGAGTTTGTGCTGTTGTGATTGTGATGAGACTTCTGACTTGGAGAGGGGTTGGGGATGAGCCGACAGGAAAGCGAGGAGCAGAGTGAGGGGTGCTGTGGTGTGGGGGGAGGGTGGTTAGCCTTGATGCTGCCTTTTGGAAGTTTTGGCGCCTCCTTAACAGGCAGATACGCTAACCTGCCCTGATAGACTCTGAGGGTGGCCAGACGCACCAGGGTGCCCATCAGGAAGCGGATGGCTCCGACATGGCGGTACTTCTCGCTCTCGATGTCAACATCTGCCACAAAGCCCCAGGCCAGGGAGAGGAAGGAGAAGAGGCGCTGCCGGGAGGCCAAATGGATCGACACCAGGTCCATGGAGCCAACCAGTCCTTTGCACAGCATGAAGCCACAGCTCAATAGTAGCTCTTCATTCCATGCTGGAGGCGACCTGAGGAGATTGTTGCACAAATAGTAAGTCATAGCAACATTGCTCTTCAATATAAACATGTAACTATATATCTATTTAGTGTATTTTTATTTTTCTGAATTATATAAGGCTATAAATATGATCTAAACATAATATACTGGTTGTGCTATAATTTCCATAGCTGAGGAAATGTGCATTGGTCTCAACAAGAATATATTGGTTAGTTATTTTGATGTATTCTGCTGTTTTCTTTTTACTTTTTCGCTAAATTTCAGTTCATTTTACTACAGTACATTAAAGGTATTAAAATTATCTGACAGTTTTCACCTTGTTGTGTCTTTATATTATGTTCATCATGTAAAGAAGTTGTTCTGAGGGAAAACCACGAGAGCTATTATTCATTGCAGTAACAGGTTTTTATAGTATTGATGACTATTTGTGTGATGTGCAAGTTTATAAGGTTTTGAGTGGAAAGTTTGGTTTTGACGTGGACGTTTGAAGTTTGTGAAGATGTGTGTGCAGTTATGCATTTGTGTTTAGAGTTTGGGGAAATAATTTCCAGAAATGTGTCTCAGCAATAAAAAAAAAGAAAAAAAAAAAGAACTTCATAAACAACCAATCACTGCAGTGGCTGCGCCAACCCACCGCAACACAGCCACTGGATAAGCTCGACTGACTGGGTTCTTCTCAGTCACAAACAAGGAGCACTGTCCCACTCTTTCCGTAATCTGAAATAATGCTGTGTTTTGTCAAATTTTAGTTGTTTTTTTTTTTACCCTCACACAGGCAACAACCCTGGGGTGACAAATAAATTCTTATTTGTTACTTTGCTGTTTTGCCAACAACCAACCAGCAGATGGAGATGACATAAAGTTAGTAGTGGATTTGTGCTGGCTTGACTGGTTCCACAGCTGCACTCGGGACTATAATCACTCATAATGTGCCAGTTTCTAAACCCATTACATCATTCCTTTGAGAGTTATCTGCAGCCTAAAATGACCTCCTGCTGCACAGTGAAGCGGTTCCAGTTTGCTCCACTGTCTCTCCCCCCTCCCAAGGAATGATGTGCCCAGTCAGCCTTTGGCATAATTACACAGAAAGGAGATAAATCGTTCTTTTTTTAGGCTGAGGAAGGTTCTTCTTTGCTCATCCTTTGCCCTTTTAGTCCGTGCATTTAAATGACTCATTAATGGACTGACTCACTGTGAGTAGTGGTGGACGGAGGCAGCCAGGGCATTGCCTGAGCCACCTGGTAGAATACCCAGAGGGGTCTGGATGGCCTCTTGCCAGTCCTCTCGCTCCATCAGACCATTTATCACCTGAATGAGGAAGAACAAATAGAAAAAAAGAATCAGACATGGTCCTAAATAGAAAGCAGTGGCTGTGTATGACCAAAACATGGATTTCATGGGTAGCTACAGCTGTTCTGTGACATGTATGGCAAAGCCAGGGAACCTGACTTCACCTTGGCTAAAGATTTATACACCCACAACACAGCCCATACACAAATGTGATAGATGTACATATTTTGAATTTTCATAAAAGAAATATATGTACATATAAAATAAAAGCACATATGTAAAAGATTATACATGAAACCCATTAGAAATTGTAATCATTTCAAGTGTAGCCAATATAAATATCTATGTTTATGTACATATGCTTATATTTTAGACATATGTTACATAAATATATATCCATCCCACAGCTTGTGAATATATGTTGATATTATATACAGTATGGACCAGGAGTCTGAGACCGCTTTCCCAGAATGTGAAGACAGACATGTTTAAAAGTGAAAGGAAAAACATATATAAACATATAGAATTTTCATATGTATATTGTTTCAGTAAACTTCATTTTATCATACTAATTTCCTATGAGTATTTTATATATGTTATAAACCTATATATTCATATAGCTAGAGGATGTATACTTATGATAATAATATACAGTAGATGACATATATGGCAACATCACTCTTGATACAGGGATTTCTGTGTGGGAGAACAGCGTTGAGCAGAAAAGCTTCCACACAATTGCCTCTTAGCTTCTTTAGCAACTGAGCCCTTGTGACATGTCAAAATACAAATAAATTTTTTACAGGCTGATTCTGAAAAGCTCTAAGAATAGAAACAGGGGTGTGCGTTTACGTCTTTATATCATTTCCATCTATTGTGTCACCATGAGACAGACATATGTCTCACCTCAAACAGCAGCCCATCTCCGGACATGATAACCAGGGCGTCCCACTGCGTCAGGTCAGCCTTCCTCACCACCTCCCGTGCATGGTTCTGGTGCTCTGACAGACACAAGAGATGAGAGAGAGAGAGAGAGAGAGAGAAAAAAAATACACGACAAAAACAGAGTTTATTTAAGGGCAAAGTGTAGGACAAGCTGACGAAATAAAAACCAGGGCAAGGGCAGAGAAAGAGACACGCTCCCTTCATCGCCAGCCTCCGGGGCAGGATCAGGGAGATTAGGCAGAAAAGAGATTCAATTTCCCCCTATCAGGCCAGACATATCACATTAGCCCATCCAGTGGCTACTCAACAGCTCCAAGGCAGCTTAGCTGGCCTGCAAACATCTGTGACCGACAAATATCTGCATGTGTGTATTCGCATTCAGCGCTCAGTGTGCGTGTGCGCAAGTGTTGGTTAATGCGCCGGCAGAGGACCGAGCTATTTGTTCAGCCTATTTTTATTGGCAGCATCCTTGAGTGGGTCCTTCTGCAGGGGGTCTCTATGGGCTCATTCCGCCAGCATTAAAGTCTACACTCCTACCAGTCGAGACTCCCCAGTGCAGTGCTGCGTGTGTGCATGCGTGTGTGCATGCGTGTGTGCGTGTGTGTGTGCGTGTGTGTGTGTGTGTGTGTGTGTGTGTGTGTGTGTGTGTGTGAGTGTGGAAAAGAGACAGCTTTAGAGAGAGAGGCAGGCAGGCAGCAAAGAAGTTAGTGATTATTGATGCGCTGCCATCATGAAGGAAATATTTTTTCCACTCCAGACAAGATATTGATCGAGGACAGAACTGAAATAAAAACAACTATCCTCTCCTTTCCTTTCACTTTGCTCAACCTCTACCTGTCCCGTCTGTCTGTCCCCCTTACACTCTCCTGGGCCTCTCTCTCTCTCCCTCTCTCCCAGTGGTGCTGCCGTTTGTTTGCTGTGTGCTGGGAAGGCTGGAGGCAGTGATGCAGTGCTGTGTTGACAGACACAGGCAGACGGAGTAACTGCACTGCACAGCTGACTCAGCACTTTGATGCTTTACTTCCCAGTCAATTCCTTATTCAAGGGGTCACTGTTGATGTACGAACATGAACATCAACCTAAACTTGACATGAGGTTTTCATATAATCCAATCATTGGCGATGGCTCTGTAACACTGGGTACATTCCAGTTGTTTTTACTCCAAATGCAGCGCTTTCCTCCTCATGTCACACTCCGCCGCCTTCTTCTGAGGTTAACCAGGGTAGAGATAAAGCTTGGTACACTCGATGCTTCATACAGTATGTAAAAGGTACATGCTGACACAAGAGGCGCCTCCACTGGTACTTGTCCCTCCTTGGGCAAAGGCTATGCGATACATTCATCAAGGAGCTGTGCCCTTGGCAAATGTTGTGCCAGTTAATCCACTCAGTCACATCTGGCTTGCTGCCGTATCCGACCACCGAAGGCCCTCAGCGACCCATATTCTCCCACCCCTCCTTTCCGTTCTGCTCCATTCTTCTTCGGCCTGGGTCGACGTCAGTAATTACTCTGTCTTTTTTCATCAGCATCCAGCTGCTGACCTTTCTTTAAGTCCCAGGCATCCGCACAAAGAGCCTGCATGCACATCAGCCCTCTGTCTCACATAAATAAACAGTTTCCCTCCTTTTCCTCTGCCTTTGCTGTCACACTCATCTCTTTTTGAGATGTATCAGAGCTGTGGCAAGAAGAGACAAGATACTATTCTTACATGTCAAATTGTTGATCCTGTCAAACAGAGTTGGGGCCGGAGTGGAAGGTGGGTGAAAATTAAAGTTTGAAGGGTAGATGATGCGCTGTGCATTGAACTTTTGGCATTAAAGCCTGTCCCTGTTCCCCTGCCGCTCCTTGGTATTCAGAGAGGTCACTTGGAGTTCAGAGCCTCTGATGACAGTAACCAACAGATGACACTGGTTAAGGTCACAAAAAGGCACCAGAAACTCATACAGAATGTGGAGCAGCTGCGGTGCCTTGCATGAGAATTTAATGTGTATCAGTGTGCATGTGCCTGAGCACCTGCAGATGTGTGCGTGTGTGTGCGCGCGCATGTGCTCGTGTTTGCTGGGAACATGTGGTGATTACACAAATAATGCATAATAACTGCAGAAAGAACAATTGCTGCAGAGATGAAAGTTTGTTCATACTGTGGTTATGCCAAATTACATGTGTCTTGTTCTTGTTCTTCCATGGATGGATTACTGGATGCTAAGGCCCACTGACCCACTGGGCCCATGGGCTTCTGTATGACATGACATTTAATAATTTCTAGTTAGAAAGTCAAAGTCAAATGACTTACAAAAGACACAACATGACCATAAACTACATGACAGACATTTTTGTGTGTCTAAGAGTCAGAGTTCTGGTTCAAAATAACTATATTGTATTTTTGTTTTTATTTTATTTTTGTGACATGCACACAAAGTGCCCAACCCTCATGGGTTTACAAGACACCAAAAGTACAGTTGCGGCAGTCAAACATCTCATTTCATTACAAAATTGCAGGGTATTTTACAGCTTGGTCTTAAAATATTCTGCCTTCTCTCTCAAAGAAATCTTCCCCATGACAGTTTCCTTCCTGAAACAAAACTCCAGTTCTTCATAATAATCCAGCCAGAAAAAATTCATATAAATAGAAGACATTTTACTAAATACAGTATAGTACCTCCCTTAAGTCCTTGTAGACAGGATGGCAAAACCAAAAATGATGTGTGGTAGTGTTACAACCTGTATGATCCCATACACCAGAAGCACAGTCAGACACAGGACACACACATGAACTGTTGAGTTGTTTATAAGTATAGAATCCCGGATTCGCATATTGTTTAACTTTAGTTCAGTACAGATCCCAGTGCTCTACCTGCTGACTGAGCTGGAACACTAACAGCTTCTTTCAATGCTGTAAACCCAAGATATTTGCACTCATCAGTATATGACAGCGCTGTTGAACCAAAATTAAAAACAACTTAATTTCTCTTCAGTAATTTTTGTCTAAATGTACTATTTGTGTTTTGTCTTGTTTCACCACTACTCTCCATTTCCAGGACCATTCCACTACAATGTTCAGTCTGAAGATGTTTTTCATGTTCAGCAAGTAAATTTATGTCATCCACATATAATAATATGCCTGCAGTCTGATCATCAACTTTAACTCCCAAGCTAGAGGTTTAAACCCCTGGCACTGAGTGGTAACTTAGGATCTTATTTTGAAGATTTAGGAATAATTTTAATAATGGAGTCTTGTGCAACTGTGTAGGAATAATACCACTGTCTGTCTGAAACAATTCAAATAACTTTACTTTGGAAGTTTCATCAATTCCAGTAGCTTTTTCAGTTATTACTATTACTATTATTGGCAATATTGCTATAAATGTTTAGCATCTCTTTCAGTTTTGATTATATATAGGACGCTGGGGTCCTTGCATGTCTGTGCTCAGGGCGTCATAGTTTCATTATCTGTCCATGATTGTACCATGGCGGGGGTTGAAAGTTTAATCCCCTCAACGCTATTCTATGTCTGGGTGACGTTGAGAAGAGTGTTATATAAATGCATGACTAACAGAGGTCTGCATGTGAACAAATAATAATAATAATAGTTTATTTGTATAGTACTTTTCAATACAAATAAAGTGCTTCACACAGATCATTTTTACTAATAAATGTAACTAACCTGTGATGACGAGTGTGTAGGGAACAGCTGCCTCGGTGAGCATGCCCTGCACGTGGCCAGTGAAGAGCTGCAGAGCCTGGCCACGCCCACTGTGAGGGTTCACCAGTATCATGACCCGGCAAGGCCGACGCACCTCTGTATATGCCACACCTGAGACACACAGAGAGAGGTGGTGGAGTGAAGGCAAGGATAGAGATGAAGAGTAGGTCTTCTCATGCATGATCAAATATGTCAAAGAATGTATAAGGACAGCCTCGTCCCTCTGGGTCTCTGCGGCACAGGAATGTACTAAGGAAAAAAAGAGCAGGAAACTTAAAGTCATGGGCCGTGACAGCATTCACACTGAAGATGCTTCATGATAATGTGACGTGCTACCTTCTTCCTAGAGAGAGGGCTTGCAGTTGCTTCTCAGTCGGGATCTTACAGATTATTAATAGCAGTTCTGTGACAGTGTATTAATGCCCATGAGGAGAATCTCCTGTTGCCTGTGTTTCTCAAGGAAAGACAGAGTAATGAAGTGACTACACTTCATCACTCCAGTGGCTGGTAGGGATTCAGCACAGATCAGAAAAGTTATTTTATTTTGTTGCTGTTGTACCATCATCACTAAAGCTCAATTATTAAAACATTTATTTATTTTTGTTTATTTCAGACAAGAACTGGAGAGAAAAAATGACAATTTACTGTTTTCTGGGTGTCATGGGTGAGATTATTTCTTGGCTGGGAAAAGTCATTTCCTGGAGTCCTCACTTGTTGACTGGCAAACGATATCATCAGTAAAATAGCAAATTGGTATTTTCATACTTTAGTTTTTGCACAGAATAAACAAATGAGATACGATACATTAATAAATGAGCTTTCGAGGAGCTGGTAGGCGTTCAGTTTCTGTTCAACAGAGCCGGGTTAGTTGTTTCCCTCTATTTCCAGGTTTTATACTAAGCTAAGCTAACCGGCTACTTCCTGTAATAGAGTGGCATCAATGATGATCAAATAATCTCATTGCTTTAATATGATGTTTGCCTCGAGTAATTTGAGTTATTTGCTCCATTTCATAAGGTTCCCATTCTTCCTTTATCCATATTTATGTGGGAGGATCCAGTTTAACCACTTAAGTGAAATACATTTGCGTGCTGCCACTAAAAGGATTTTTTTTTTTTTTTTTTAAGTGAATTCAGAGAAAAGCTTCGACCTCTGGAGGAGCATTTTGCAGCAGATGCATTGACCTTTAAAGTGACACAGACTCACCAGAAACCATATCAAGTGAATCTGAAAGGACAGGGACAAAAAAAATTGTTCCATTTTGGGATGTGGAGGACAGTTTGAAATTCCACCATTATCATTTGGCTGCAGTTGATGCTGACTTTGGTAACAGTAGTATCAGAAGCACAAAAGCGTGTGATGGATGGTTAAATCCCACCACCTCCTGCTTATAATCAATAAACGGATCAAGAGAGATACAGTAAGATGCCAGATGTGTTCTTTTGACTCACTAACATCTATCTATGTCCACTCTGAGTGGTTTTTCTTCTTTACACTTCGGAGCCTCAGTTTCCAGTACTGTGACCTGTGATGCACTGCTGCTGTCGCTGGCTCATTCTTCCTCATTTGACCTGTGGTGTGTCACAGCGGAGGTACAAAAATATCTCAGGGACAGAGATGTGGACCCACCAGGAAAAGTGAGGTGAGAGTGCGATAACACACTGGCACATGCCAAACTCTGCCTCCATTCACCCACACAGGGTTTCCATTGTTTTTTACTTGTATTAGAGCACAATGTGGCTCTCAGACACAAAAGGTCCTCTCCACACTTCCAGAATATAGTGGAAACTGTCTTTTGACAGTGAAATTGCTTTAAAATCAGTTTTTGCACTCAAGTGTGCTGAGCTGAATAGAAGTCCTTGAAAAGGTCAAACCTGAAGTTGAACTCCTTACTCCTTAAAAACAAATCCTCTGGCAACTTTGGCATTGGAATTCATGACATAAAACCCAGAACCAGATATGGTGGAGAAATAGCTCTTCTGTCTTGGCCAGTGGCTCCAGACCTCTGAATCACTGTCCACATCTCAGAATCTTGCAGCAATTCAAATAGAATAATGAATAGAATGAAACAGCCGTACAGTCTGATCATTATGCAGCTAATTCAAACCCATGTAGTGTTACTCTAAAACGTTGAAATTTGCAAGGGAGCATGCAAGGGAATACTTATTCATTTGATTACATTAAATATCTTAGAAGGTGGGAATTCAGTCAGATCCCCTAACTATTTGAATATATTCTAACTGAGAAACACAACAACAATTTCAGACATGATTTTACATACTGTTAGCATTAAAATAGTGTAATGTGATGTAATGTAACAGCCAAATAAGACTAAGAGTCAACAGCCATGCTAGTAGCTCTGTGAGACTGTAGTAAGCTTTTCAGCTTACCCAGATTTCTGTTTCCAACTACATTTATGATGATTATAACTTTAATTATTAGGTATAAAACTAGACTTGCAAGCCAGCATAACGGGGTGCAAGCACCCGACCCAACTCAGAGACAAAGGTGGACCAATCAGGAGCATGCACTAGATGGAGAATTAAGGGATCACCAAAGTTTCAACTCATCTTAAGGGGGAACACAAATGTCTGTACTGCAAGTGTCTGAAGTGCATGGCAATCCATCCAATAGTTGTTGAGACATTTCACTTAAAACCACAAATGTCAATCTCCTGGTGAGATTAGAGGAAAAGTCAGGGGATCATTAAGATACATCCTCTGGGGACCATGAATATCTGTACAAAGGTAATCCATCCAGCAGTTGTGGAGATATTTCAGTCTGGATCAAAGTTGCGGACTGACCTACAGACATAGCAAAGTTTTTCAGAAATGCTCTAACCCACTTGTCATTATTGTCAGAGTATGGGTGATCAAGAAACACTGACATGCTGATTACATACAGTAAGTTACAAGGCAGATTCACCTATAACTAAAACAACTGCAGCTTAATATCACAGCCCCGCAATAAACCTTGCCTTCATGAAGTGACTGAGGTGTTTCTAATATTTAGTCTACCCATGTTGACATAAATGGGGCAGACAAAATGTTAGAAACATCTCTCAGCCAACAGTGCAGTGTAGCCAACTACATCCTGTAAATTGATCATAACATTTAATCAGAACCTCTCTAAAATACTTAACTAAATCCAAAACTTTGTTGCACTATTACAGGAAAAAGAAAATCTATATTGTTAATAGTTATTTGTTTTGCACAGGCCTCTTCTCTGGACATACCTCCTGGGTTGTATCTGTGTCTTGTGTGTGCATGTGTGTGTAGCCTGTCTGTGTGTGACAGGAAGTTAGATGCAGGGTGTGAGGGTGTATGTGAAATCTGTCTGATGTGAAGTCAAGATACCTGTGGGCACCCATCACACCGGCAAGCAAACTTTCAGCTGTGGCGTGTGTGTATTTCACAGTCGCAAGTGGGTAAACACACACACACACACACACACACACACACACACACACACGCAGAGGCAGAGAGGTGAAAGACTGGATGTGACAATGTGTCAGTGCTAACAAGTGATGAGCTGACAGAGCAGTGTTACCGTCTCGTTGCCACAAGTGTATCACTATGCAGAAAGACTCAATTTTACTAAATAAAGATGCGATGTGTCTTTTCTGGCATACTGCAGCACAGGTGGGATTTGTTAAAACATAAAACCATTCAAGAAACTCCTGGAGCAGAAACAAATGTGTGGGCAATTCAATGAAAGCAGCCTCAGTGAAACTGACACTATATCCAGACTGGACTGACGTGTCTGCAAACAAGCTGCATTCCAGGGTTGGGTGAGTGTTTGCTGGAGAGGAGGGGAGGAGGTCTGCAGAGTATAAACCCCACTGCCCACTGAGGCATCACCAGGCTGGTTGGGGGGCGCTGACAGGCCATCACAGCCGTGTGTCACAGAGCAGAAGACAAAGGCTCCAGAGGGACTGAGATGCTGGACAGGGCGAGAGGTCGTGGTGGTGACGCATTCAGCTCTCGTCTCCCTCACTGGAGAAGTAATGAAACCTGGCACACATTTGCACATTCTGAGGGTGTTCTGGGTCAGAATATAAGTTTTGGGAAAAAAAAAAAAATCAATACAGTGTACAAAGCTATTGCTGCTCAGAGAGAAATCAAAAGAATTTAAAATTCCACAGCGTATAAATGTTAAATCTCTAACTGGCCTCCTACCAGCCGTTTGAATAGCAGAAAAGGATACAGCCGATAGCAGCGAAGGCAGCCACTATAGGAAAAGTCAAAGCAAGTAACAATCAGCTCATCCTTTTGCATGCAATCTGACTTCTTGAGCTTCTAAGCAGGGGAAATACTTTGACAGACCATTAACGTTAGCAGGAATGTATCATAGTGTATTCACTTCATTATTTACGGCTCATTCATTCCAATGAACTTTCAGTGAGAAGAAAAACCCTGTGAGACTATTGGTGCAATAGATTTCAACACACGCACACACGCACGCACACACACACACAAATTAGTGGAGTTACAACCTCACTGTGAACTATACCTTCACACACTAAATTTCATGTTTATCCACTTTATACTTAAGTGAAAGTGAGTCACCGTTATGGCTCTCTGCCTAAATACCAATCTTGCACTGCAATTGCACTTTTAATCCAACCTTTCTATCTGCAATGCCAGATGAGATGACATGCAATTAACTTAGGGGGGAAATACTCTATGAGGGATTAGTGAATCACACTGACTTTCATACACCCTCTGCAACAAGGCAGAAAAGCAGCTATTCTGTAATATTAGTGCAACATTACTCATTTAAAGCACATAATATACTCTGCTAAATACTATATTATTGGCTGGCCTGGATCTGGAATGCTAAAACAAGCTTATAAATTAATGATATGATCACATCATTGCTGTGTTCAAAAGAAGTGAAGAAATGAGAATCTGAAATGAGAGACTAAAAACGGTTAGATGGCTGAGCTGGTTGATTAGTATGTGTGGTCTGAAAAGCTGGAGCTCTTTGATGAGTCCAATGAGAGGCCAGTGACCGGGGTGGGTGGAGGAGGGGGGTTACCTCTTAGGTTACCATCTGCCTGCCTGCCTGGCATGCAGGGCTGAAACCCAATGTCCTGCTGGCTGCAGAACAGAGGGAGGCTGGATGTTCCTCATCATCACACAGAGCCTAGTCTCTTTCTGTGTTTGCAGTGTACACCTGGAGGCTGCTACCAGGAGGGTGACCTCATTCCTCATCCGGCAACTAACACTTGCCTCCATCTTTGGTGACCAACATTCCAAATTAGTCACTGCCATGTCAAATATCCGCTTGGTCTTTGAACTGCTCTAGCTGGAGGTGGAGCTGCAGTAAAGGATATTACCTGACCCGACACGGTGGACTCAGAATTTGCACCTTAATGACAAACACAATCATTTTGGGACCCAAAGAACTTCGTCTCATCATCAGCAAGTATCACCACTACCTCCCTGATGAGTGATAGGGGTAATTAGCTGCATAAACACTTCTCATATCATATTCATAGTAATTACTGTCTCACTGTATACCAGGATGGAGCATAGAGAAGCTAATGAGACTGGAAGACAAAGGAACCTGAGGACAGTCTGCATTTTAAACAGAGCGAGACATGATGAGACCTAATTAGACGTAGCTGCTGCAGAGCGGGATGAAAAACAGCCTTTGTTTTGATATGATTTTTCCACCCATCAACGATGAAATTTCAGTGGGGATTTACTGAGCAGGAATAATGACGCCTGAGCTGTGGTTAACACTCTCCGCTGACAGAGGATCAGTTGAAAATCTAACTATTTAAGTGATCAGTTTTGTGTGTGTGTGTGTGGGGGGGGTTGGGTGAGTGTGAATTAACAGTAGGTACAGCAGGCTCCAGATCCAGAACCATCACTGGAATGAGGCAGCTGTAATTGCTGCTGGCAGGTAGAATACCTTTCACAGCAGGTGGAGCAGGTTTCTGAGAGCAGACCACATGTGCCAAACCTGTTTTTGGCAATAGGAAGATGTAACCATGGTCGAAGTATCATGTGGGGCTTAAGTCAGGTCAGCATAGATTAGCCTACTTTCAAATGGCCCCTACTTTACGAGACTTTTGCCACATATATAAAAGAGGGGAAATCGCTGTGAGGACTGGCTATATCCTACCTCATGGCATTTTTCATCTTCTCATCAAAATAGCTAAGATCGATACCTACGTAGCCCTGCAGTATAAAGTTGTGTACGTTAAATTTTCATTCTCAGGTTTCAAAGTGATGTGACCCATGTTCCCACATGGCACTCACCGTCTCTCCGGGGCGCCTGCAGTACTGAGGCATCTCTGATGGCATGAGCCCACCTCTCAGCTTCCTGGAGGTTTGCGAGCGGGTCCTGGACCAGCGCGACCCGAAAGCACTGCTCCACTCTCTGCCGGGCCACTCCGGCGCTCATCCAGCGCCTCTTGAACGGGTAGAAATAGGCTTTGAAGTAGGCTCCGACGTCCGCGCTGTCCGGCCCTCGGTACGCCCGGCAGCCAATGCAATCGGTCAAGTTAAAAACCACCTTACTCCGGCCGGGTGACGAGGAGATCCTCTGGACGGTCAGGGCGCTCTCCGTCAAGCTCACCGAGTACCGGACCCTGTCGTTGAACGTGTCGGTGAACTCCCCGTACAGCGCGGCCACGACCCCGTTTCGCTGGCGGGATGGGTCCGGTTCAGAGGCGCCTCTCTCCATCCCGGACGGAGAGTGCCGACGCGTCCCGCAGGCCGGTGTGCGGATAGCGGTGCGGTGTAGACTCCGATCCTACAACCAGCCTGCTGTGGGACCCTTGAGTGTGATAACAGCAGCTTTCCTAGTTCAGAGTCTCTCCCTAGTGACTGAAAGGGGAATGGCAATAATGGAGCTGGAGCAGAGCGCAGCCGGCTGTCCTGACACCAGCCGCTCCTCCTGAGGAATTCAACATTTTCTGCCCTCTCTGTGCACAGGTTCCTGGTGCAACGGGTTATATCAGCTCATACTAAACTACTTTATCGGTTTCAACTCACTATTCGTAAGCTACGAACATATGATTTGAAAATTTAACAATAAGCCCACATCGAATCATCTTAAAATCTTAACATCTGGCCATATAAAAGTTACAGGATAGATCCCTGCTGCAGGGTCGCCGGGATGTTTAGGATACTTGAAAATAGCCATGATGAAAATCTGTCTAGTTTCTGATGACTTTCAGATATTAAAAATATTAGCCTATTATTTTTTCCTAATACAGGTTCATTGGAAGCAATCCATGGAGCTCTCAACCGCATCTCATGATACAATAATGTAGCCTAACTCTCCTCCAAGAGCCATTCTGTCAGCTAATGTTACTTCTACTTTACCTAGTAGGATACATTTAATTCTGATAATCTAGGAGTAAAATCAGGAATGCCGGACTTTTACTTATGGAGTATTTTACTCCAAAAGATCTCAGTAGCTACTTCTGCACCTCTGAATTCAGTCTTTTTTATTTAGGTAGGCTACTTATTGCTGCCATTTAGTTTTCCTAGCCTATAGATATGTGTAGTAGCCTATTCATGTGACAGGAAGTCCGTACATGAAGTAGGCTATAATTCTTCTAAAGTTGTTCACGCTGTATAATGAAAAATGCCGTTTAGGGGGTTAGCCTATTGCCTTATTTCATTGTCCTACTTGTTGTAAGTGCAAATGTAATGTTGGCGTTTTTGAGCTCGTTTGCCGATGCTGAATGAAGACGTGCAATTCAATTCATCGCACTAAGGCGTCAGTTTGTTCTATTATCCAACTTGTACAATGAAAATTGAACAATAAAGTCGAAAGCCGGAAACAGACACGTGACTGCTGGGCTGAAGAGCAGCAGGAGAACAGGTGTGTTAACTCGGCAGGTGATGCAGGTGCCTTGAGTGTCCTTTTTTCTGTGTCCTGAGCTCATTCTCTGTTCCCTCTAGTCAAGTCCAGTGTAATCCTAGAACAAAAAGAAAATTACATTTTTATTTTTACATGATAATTTGAATAAGATCCCCAATGCGCTTCTATAATGACTTTAATATTTATAATATTTATAATATTAGCCTGTTATTTTTCTGCACCAGATGGTTTGAGGATTGAATGGATCATATTCATGGATTGCGCATAAAAAGGAAAGAATCCAACCCTTTTCGAGAACTCACATTTCTTATTCCTGTGCCCCAGAACAGATTGGTGAATATTTGTGAACATGCAGCATTCTCCTCTAAAGTTAGAAACCAAATGGAGAACCTTAAAATGTGCAATGTCATCCCAGTTTGCTCCAAAACAATGAATGGGGGACTGAAGCTGTGAAGTCATTTGTGTAATTTCTTGTCCAATTTAAAATATGGATGAGACCTGTTAGGAGGTACACTACACAGCTACTGTAGATTATGGGGTAAGTGAGGAAAAACATTTCTCTCAGTGGCTCAAAGTCATTTCAGCTTTATAACTTCAGTTGCCTTATAAAAACAAGCCTTTGGCTTTTTTAGAATATGACATTTGCAGGTCTATACTTCCAGAGTATATTTTTCTACTATATTGGTTCATCATTTGAACTCATTAGCTCTCAGTGTGGGGGGTTCAATTAAAAAATGCATTCCACATTTTCATTTGTCACTTAGGACATTAAATCGATATTTTAATGGTATACACTGTTGACACAGAACAAATCAGAGCTCCTTGCGTTGGCTGTGGAAGATTTGGTGACTGTCTCTGATTTCTAGCTTTAGGACAGATAATATAGACTTAACTGTCCTTGGACACAGGAATGACGTGACATTTAAGTGTTTTGTCAAAATTGCTTTCAAATGAATGAACTCTATGTTCATGAATGTTGCGATTATTTATTAGTATCTTGAACTTCATGCACAGCTGCTATTTTACCTTCACTTCCCGATGCAGTTCCAGACTCGGCCCTGTCATATGAATAAAAGCATAAGAAAAGTAAACTGTGGAACCATCGATGTGGGGAACGTGGACCTAGGCCTATTATTAACACATTCAAACATTCATTCAAACAATACAGCCATGGCGGAGAACAAACAAACACCTGTAGCAGCCGGTTGAGCAGGAAGGGGAGGTGGAAGAAACCGAGCAACGGAGAACTTCACTTTTAAATACACTGCCCTCATGCGTTGATTGGGCAGTGTTGGCGCCATTTCAGATTTAAATGAAAAAACATGATAGCATCAGTGAAACACCCCTGGTAAAATACGCCTGCTCTTCATCACGCCGGTCTCCAGGAACCCTGGTCCTTTGACATGTGTGTGACACGCGTGACGTACACACACACACACACGAAATTTATTGCCGATCAATAGTGGGCTAGCAGAACAAACCTATAACAGTTATGAATTTTGTTCATTTTTAGACAGTTTGTTTATTTAGCTTAGCTCTCCTTAAATTGGCCGCTGCAGCCAGCACGTTGGATCAAAGAGCGAAACCTTTTTTTTTAAACGAGCTGTCTTCGGCTCTGTTTCCGGCTGTCGACTGCCCCGATCAATTTTCATTGTACAAGTTGGATAATGGAACAAACTGACGCTTTGGTGCGCTGAATTGAATTGCACGTCTTCATTCAATGGGACAAAAACACACGCAAAGCGTTTAGGCAGCATCGGCTAATGAAGGACGAGCTCACAAACGCCAATATTACATTTGCACTAAAAAAAAAAGTAGGACAATGAAATTAGGCAATACCCCCTAAGCTGGCATTTTTCATTATTACAACGTGAACAACTGTATAAGAATTATACTTCATGCACGGAACAGTTTGTGGTTTTGCACTTTGTTTGCTTTCTTAAATGCAAACTGAATCGACAGAAAAAAATTTTAACTACTATGGAATTACCGCACCCACTCAGGAATCACGTGGTATGTGACGTTTCCGATACATAAAAACGATTTCACGCGAGATTGCCAGTCTTCTTCAACCAGAGACAGTGGAGGCACTAGTTCTGGCACGGTCGAGTGGCAGCAGAGAAACGTTCAACTCCAGCATGCAGTTTTCACATGATGTGTTACATTCCTGTCTCCGTGTGGAGTCTACTGCAGCTGATCCACCATGAACAGGTGATGATTTGATGACTTTAGAGTGTGAAAGGTCTTTAGGTGGTTCACATGTACTGTGCTAGGTGGCTAACTGTTAGCTAGCCGGGCGAACACGTGCATGGAGAGCATGTTTGTCAGAGGTTATAAATTAGTTACTGTGTTAGGCGACTTAGTAAAGTCGTAAAACATCAAATAAATTAACTGGCAAGTAGAGTAACATTACTACAACTTTAAATGTTAAATTTGAATCCAATGATAAAGGGTGATGGATAGCAACGTGGCCTCTTATTAGCTCACAGGCTAATGTTCAAATGTCTGATTTACAGATCTGATGAATGACTGACTGAATTCATATACGCTAACTTTACAGGTAGCTTGGCCGGATCTGGATTGAAGCTCGTGTTCTTGCCAGTGAAGGACGACGTATTTCATCGTAATGAAAGGTAAAGTTGACCATGAGTGGCGTGATGTTCCCAACTCTCTGCAGTACATATGATGAGTTTGTTATCCCTGTCTGAAAAAACAAGTGTGGAAACCAATGGTATCTGACCTGCTGCAGACTGATGTGTGAAGCTACATGCTGCTGATGACTTGCAACTAATGAAACGTGTTCTTGCAGGTTTGTGGTCCTAATGTCCCACTCTGCATTGACTATATGCACGAAGAGGAGGCTCAGAGAAAAGGTTTGTACTTCTTTTGACTTTAATGATCCACGTTTTCACTGATTCAGTGATGAAAACTGCTGCATAGGAAGTGCCGTCTGATGCGATAACTGACGATGGCAAGAGCTGTTCTGAGAAATGTTGTTAAAGCTTTTGGTTTTGTGTCTATGACCTGAGCAATTAATGATCCAGATGTAAAATTTCCCAATACAGATGTAACAGCAGAAAAGCGTGACAATGAAGAGTCACATGGGTCCTGAGATAACATGAACCAGGTAAATGTGGCACATTGACATTTAATTAGTATCAAGCCAGTGATGATAAAAGTTATCCCTGTCTGAAATCAAGTGTTGAGTCATGGTAACCTGAGGCTTGATTGGAGATGTAGGATGAGAATGATGTATGGTGTCAAAATAGTAATTTTTTTTGTTTGTTTTTCTGTAACTTTCAGGTAAAGTTGGTGGAGAAACACAATCAATACCAGCCTGGGACTGAATCAATCTTGATGCAACGTGAAAATATAAAGTGCAGCACATTTGTTTGTATGCAAATTGAAAACCATGTTTAATAAAACTAAAATGCATAAAATTCAAGCATAATGACACATTCAAGTACTCAACATAATAAGAGGAGCATGTATCCTATTGAATGTGCCCAGCACCATTGGTCAATCTGTGTTGAAAGATGACCTGTAGGATTTCTTCTTTAAATTTTCGAGAAAGATCTGCTCTTCTTGGAGGTATTCATGGTCCTGTGGGCAGATAAAGAATTGAGTTATCTTGGTTAGAAATTTGAAATGTTTTCAAATTGCATCTACTGATACAGGTTTCTGTTGCAGGTTTAAGTGTGTTGAAAAACTAATTGTGAGTGAGCCACAACACTTAACTGTAATAACCTGTTTTAACTTAATATTTACAATAAAAGCCTATGCAGTAACAATCTACATGTGTTCATTTGATGTCACTTTTTTTGCAGTTAATTATCTCTTCACTGTTAACCAGTTGTAATGGTTGCTTTTTTTAAAATGCAACATTTAGGACTCAAAGTTTAAAACCACTGGAGGATGACTTAATTTGATTAGACATTAAAAATATTTTGAAATAAGCTCAAGCTGATTGTTGCAAACAGCTCTTGATAAATGCTCCTGAGCTTACATGTGTCTGACATACAGCTGGTGTATCAGGCTATCCAGGGTATAATGTATCTAACTTTGTTTAAGCTGTATATCTCTATAAAACAGCAAACAGCTTTTTGATGTTTTGCCATCTTGGGTGCAAATCTACTCGCCAATCAAAATGATTACTACCTTTTTTGGAACACAGTTAAAAAGCTGTAATTTAAGTGCTTACCTTTTCTGCAGTGTACTTCCACAGAGCCAGACTGGCCTGAAGCGCCATGGACTGAGTGTTGGCAAATGAAGTAGGAGGGGGAATGTTTAAGGTCGATGCCAGTTCAGGGTTCGGCAACACTGCAACTGAATCTACAAAAGAAAAAGATAAAAGCTTGTAACATTCTCCGCATGAAATGGTTTGAACTTTAAAGTGCTGTGAGACACCAGTTTCTGTTGAATGATTAAAAACCAGAGTTAAGCCACCTGGTAACACGGATGGAATCATTTGTGGTAAAGAGGTGATGTGATGGTCCTGCCTCAGCCTTTCTGTCTCCGTCTGCAGATGACTTAACTGCATTCGCTCCTGTAACAAAAACAGCACTCAGATACTACCACACAGTGTATACAGTCAGTGCTGTTCATATTAACTGACACATACCTGAAGGATTCGTTGTTCTTGCTGTCTCAGCCGCTCTGTTTGGATATGAATATTTCTGAGCCTTGCCTCGTGCTCAGCCTCCACGCGTTTTGCCTCCTGTGATGTTCGTTCTCCTTCCTCATACTTCTCTGCAGCAAGCTGCAAAGAACACAGAGTTGTCAAAAGTCATATATCAGATATTGTTTTCTCCACTACTTGTAGATGTCTGTGTGGTGTGAATTTACCTTGCTGAAGGCCTCCACCTCCTGGGCTCGTGTTTTCAGTCTCAGGGCTGTGCTGCTTATTCTTTCTTTCTCTCTGTCTAGTTCTTCTCTTAGTTTCTCCAGAGCTTCTCGCTCCTGTGCCACTGCAATCTCCTTCTGTTTTACCTCTCCAGTTCGAAGCTTTAGGTCAGCTTGTTCCTACAACAGAAACAGATGACTTTTTTATTTTTACTTTGGAGTCCTGTGTTACCAAAGGGTCTAAACAAAATTTACTAGAGAAATACTGTATATCCTGTTACACTGACTGATTGCACTGAGTGAATCATAAGCAAGTACATACATTTTATCCAAATTTCTGCTTGTGTAATGATGTTTGAATTATTAGCCTTTTCAAATAATAGAGCAGCATGTAAAAGATGAGTCACCTCTCTTTCCTCCACAGTGAAGCTCACCTGTGCCAGACTGATGATGGAGCCCTCTCTCTTCTCCAAGAGACTGCTGACCTCTCGTTCCGCTCTCTCATGCCTCTGCTTCTCCTGAGCGTGGAAGTGGGTCCACTCAGCTGCCAACTTCCTCCTTTCCTCTGCACAATGCTGCATCACTGACTTCTGCTCATCCAGCAGTGCACTCTGATGGAAGCAGAGACAGGGAGGAGAGTTAAGGCAGAGACGCATGGAATCAGGATAGAGCTCTTGATCTACTATCTGCACTGCTGTGGATATTTGTCAGCCGCACCTTGGCTCTTTCCAGCTCCTCTCTCTCCATGTTGATCTGCATGCTAAGGGAACGGCGCTCTTCTTCCAGGCCTCTTTGTGTAGACTCTGCTTTGGCCTGTTCTGCTGTCATCTTCCAGCGCTCCTGAGGTATACAAAGAAAAAATGGCAACTTCAGTCTTCGAAGGGGAAAAGCATCAGTTTTAGTTTTAGGTGTTTCTCTGTATGCACTTGTGCTTTACTGCTATGTCAGAGTAAATAGTCTAGAGTTAAGGTCTGTCTTTTCCCTGACCTTCTCAAGCTGTCTTTGCTGCTCATTGAGTTGAGTGTCCATCCTGGAAATGATTTCCTTGAGGTAAGCTCTCTCCTCCACCATGGCTTTCTGCTGCTGAGCCAGACGGTCCTGCATTACTGAAAAGTACATTTAGAGAATGACCTTAACCCAGTTGAAATTTGATACAACCATGCCCGAAGACATCTTGACGTCTTGACCCATTTGTAGAGCGTGTGTGCTCATGTGAGCGTGTATGCAGTACTTCGAAGCTGCTCGTCTCTGTGCCGTGCCCCCTGCTCCAGGCCATGGGCCGTGTGTTCATGTGTGCTCTCCACCCGAGAAGAAAGCTCTCCCAGCCGAGAGGAGAACTGCTCCATCTGCTCAATCACCACTGTAAGAGACCTGGACAAAGATGACAGGATCATAAGTATTAGTATGATCTCTGAAATCCTGACAAAGATTGGCTAGTCAGCTGAAAAAAATGTATAGTATTTCACATAAAAACACAAGATTCATGCTAAATATAAGTAATGTTAATGGGACTGTTATTTTCCTTTGATAATAACTTACCTGGTTTGCGATGTTGCACTTGTAACTGCATCAATCTCCTCGTCCTTTAACCTCTTCAGTCTGTGGACCTGGTCCTCATGGTCTTTCTTCATCTCTAAAATAGATTTCCTTGTTGGCAAAATAGGAGAAAAATGCAATATATAGTAAGATCATTAAGGTCCTTCATTTGTCATAAATATGATATGCTCATTCTGGGGCTTACTGAATTATCTGGATACTTTGGTTGAGTAAAACCCAAAGCAGGTCCTCTGACATTGGCTTTTTACAAGTTTCCGATTTGAGGGAATTCTGGGTATTGCTTCGCAAAGATTTTCAGACAATTAAGTAAACCGTCCTCTTGAATCAGACCCCTGTACGTACTATTTTTGGTTTCATCTTGTTTTTATTTTTTTTCAATGTAGATTACCTTAATTGTGACCTTGGTCAACAGACGTGCTGTTAATACAGTAAAGGGTGTTCTCCTGTTGCCAATGCTATTGCTATTAGAAAAGGCATCCCAGGTTTACCTCTGGAGGTCTCTGAGTCTCTCCACCTCACGGTCTCTGTCTTGCTGGGCCTGAGCCAGTTTGCGCTGGTACTGAGCCTGTAGCTCTGAGCGTTCCTGCTCAGCAGATCGTGTTACTGTGGCCAGGCGTTCCATTAGGTCTTCATATTCCTGCCGTGCTCGTGTCTCCCTCTGGGATGCTGATTCCTCAAGCAGCTTCACACGAGCCCTGGATGTCCACAGGAATGCATACAGTGTGTATTAAGCATACACACAGACATAAGCCACTCAAAACGCCGGGAATTATGCATTATGTATGTTAAACACATACACAGATATGCCACATTTGCACTACATATATACTGTATATGCGCGTGTGTGTGTGTTTGTGTGTGTGTGTGTGTGTGTGTGTGTGTGTGGGGGGTCTAGGAATAGACTACTTGTGTGTGTTCTCCATGAGCTCCATATCCTGTTTATGCTGCTGCTGGACACTCTCCAGCAACATTTGGCTCTGGTCTCGCTCCAGCTGCAGGGTCTTCACCTGGACAGTAAAATATGTTTGAAGTTTCAAGCCGGGCAAGTGCATGGAAGTGAAGCTGGGGCAGTATGGACACATATAGTAGCAATAAATAAGCAATGTTTGTCCAGTCATCACCACATTCGCATTCACATACCAGTCCCTCCAGCTGGACAATGCGAGCCTGTAACACTTGATAATCCCCAGGTTGATCTTTGAATCTCTGCAGGACCGCTGCTTCCCCGACACCCCCTAGACCCAGCAACTGAGACTGCATCTTAAGAGGAGAATAAGTAAATCAAGTACAAATAGGTGATGAACGTGTTGTCATATTTTGAATAAATCTGTAAGTAGAGGTGCATAGGTAGTTTTGTAGTTTCTTACCTGCTGCTGTAGTAGCAGCTGCTGCAGACTGTCTGCTGAAAATGTCACCTATTGAGAAGTTATGGATGGAATAAAAAAGGTCTTATTTGTTGTCCCAAATCATGAAAACCTTATTACAGAAAAGCGTGAATACCTGTTGCTGGACAGAAGTTGATGTGTTTTGCATGTTGCTTTGCTGTGGAACTGCTGGAGAGAAAACAAACATGAGTAACTATAATGCAGATGTGCTCAAATTGGCTATTATAGCAATACTGAAACATGCTACTTCATCAAAAACTACTTTATTTCCATAAGATTACCTACACCCCATTGTGCCAGGCAGTGTAGTAGACATAAGGTTGGGCAACAGAAGCTGTTGCAGGGTTTCATCCGAAGGCTTATTGGGCCCTCTGAGCACCCTGGATCCCTTACTGGATTGGGGTTGGGGTTGGGGCTGGCTAATGTTAGGAGCAGAGACTGGCAAGGGACCAGTGAGCTGGGAAGGGTAATCTGAGGGATGAGACAAACTAAGAGTTTGTCCAAGGTCTACTTCAGCGGTTAGTGAGGAAGATGGTAAGGTGGAAGGCAGGCAAGGCTGGGCAGTGGGTGTACACTCAGTATATATGGAAGGAGATAGTGGTGGAGTTGAGGGGTAAGTGGGAATGGTATCTGTATGAGAAGAGGAGTACATGATTTAGAAGAGTATGAGTTCATGATTTTCTAAGATGATAAGCATGGCATGATACAAGGTAGGTATTAGATATGGGTCTCGCAAGTCCACAGCATGCTGGATGATATATTTTTTTTGAGAATGATGAACTGGGTCAAAATGAGGAAGGGCTCCTGTTGTAAATGTGCAGACTTCTCTTTTTTGCAGTTTGAACTCATAACTTTATAATAAAATGTAACTGAAAAGTTATTTGGGTGAATTGTGAATACCTCGCTCGGTCCTCTCCTCTCTGACAGGGGTGGAGTGAGCAGCGGGGCTGGGCTGTCCAAGAAAAGTATTACTGAAACAAAAAAAGTGGAATGAAAAAAAAATAATAAAATAGTCACTTTCATGGCTTTACTGGATTTATACAACAGACATATTACCTAGATGCTTTGACAGATGTAAGAGAGCCCTCTCTGCCCCTGGTAGCCTGTGAAGTTGTTTGTTTACTGAAAACAAAAGCAAGTAATCATCAATCAGTATTGAGAAACAAATTTCTTCTGTCACTGTATTGTGTTGTGTGGCTTCCACAGTACCTAACAAACGACTCCAGATGCACTTCTTCTCCCAGACCAAAAGAATCTTCCTGCTTGGACTTTTTTGCCTCTGAGTTTGAAGCTGACTGAGCCTTCTTCCTGCTCAGTGCTCCTGCTAACCAGTCATCCTCCTCCTCCTCCTCCTCTTCTTCTTCTTTCTTCTGGATTGTGGAAACCTCTGCCTTGGTTTGTTTGGCGATATTGACAATTGGGGCTGGGGTCTCTGCTGTAGCTTTTGCAGCAGATGTGGCATGACTACCAGTCAGGGAGGGCTTTCTCTCCAATAAGGGAGAGGAGAGAGCTTTTGGAGACTCTAGTGAAATCTTGGTCTCTTTGGTCTCGTCCTCTAAAAATGCATTATCGTCATTTGTCTTGAGGCCTAACCAGTCGGCTGAGTTGCGGTGTCGAGTGGAGATGGGGGTGGTCGGCTTTGGTTTCTTTTCCGGGGTAGAGGCACTGACATCCTCTGTGGAAAATCTGACAATAGAAGAAAATCGTATCATGTACCTATTTTGCGCAGTTCACCATGGCAAAAAAGTCAAAAAATCTTAAGTAAAACACTAAGATTGGACTAAACACACACCTGACAGACTGTCTGCGGGAATGGCGCCCTTCAGGTGTGGATCCCAAAGTGGGCTGATAAGACCCAAATGTGAGATCATCTTCTAAAAGTGGTTCTGGTAAATGTGGACAAAACAAACTTTCATTATTTCATTATTTTAAAACAGTACTAGCTCACATCTCATGGAGCTCCATTACCTTTCAAACTGGTGTTCTTCTCCTGCTGCTGCTGCTTCTCTTGAGGCAGAGGCTGGTCCTTCATCTCACCTGTGGCTGGTCGCTCCAGAAGACGAGGTGAAGTCAAACTCTCCAGAATCTCGTCCAGTCTAGTACGAGCTCTCTGAGGGGTCTCACCCCTGAGATTAAACACACAGAGAAAACGGGGAATGACACATGCTATATGTCTGTATGTGCTGTGTGTCATGTTATGATACAAAACAATTCAGGAAGACCTGGCCAACTTTGAAAAAAAAAAGGAAAAGAAAAAGATTTGTGAGGGCAAAGCAAAGATGATGTTTTGTAAGAAGCAAATCATATGACAAAGAACAAGATCAGGTTCTGAGCAAAGTTCGTCCCTGGCCACACACCAATGCACTAAGGCAGTAATTATTTATTATTTAAGCACTATAAATAAGGACAACAAAAAGAGTGAAACAATAAAAGTGAAAACAGCTGTTACCTTTCCTTGTTGGACCAAAGCGGAGATTCTTTTTTCTTGGGGTTGTTTTTATCACTGTCAAATCCGAGTGCATCCATCAGGTCATCCTTACCATCATCAAATGTGAGATCAGCTGGTGTCTTTGCTGCTTTATCTGATGAACAAAGAATAAGCACACACATATTCAGTGTTTGATGATTACATGGAAAAATGAGAAGTAAAGAATTTTGGAAATTGTCAGGCTCACATGTTTTGCTCTTTAAGACTGGAGATGCTGAAGGAGACTGTACAGCTTGTTCAGGTTTGGTTTGGTGTACGCTAGTTTTAGATTCAGGCTTGGTTTCATCTGGAAGTAAATCACCAAGTAGGTCATCCAGGGGGTCATCTAGATCTGCAAAGGAAATTAGATGATAATGTTAGAGACATCTTTTAAGAAAAGGCAGTGAGTTCAACAAGGGCTGTTGCATTGGATTGGATTGGATTAAAAGGTTACAGGCATACCTAAAAAACTACAACTCAAGTGAATAAGTCAGTTAATGGTGTATGGTCATACGTTGTATGGATATTTCTTTTTTGGTGCTCTCCTGTTCAAACTCACAGACACCCACTGACACTACTCACTGATAATACTCAACTACAAGTAAAAGGTCAAACACATACATTGTACCTTTCATGTATGTTGTCTGACCAAGACCTTCATCATCATCAGAGTCTGAATTAATGCAGCAAATTGAGAAAAACAAAGCAAAAGCTATCACTAAACAGCACTTTTGCTCTCCTGTTGAGCTATATAAAGCTCGGTCTCAGAGATGGGATGGGAGACAGGGGCTCACTCACCAGAGAAGGTGAACTTCTTGTAGTTACGTGCTGTAGACATAGAGGGTGCAGAGTTTGGCTTCCTCCCTCCTGTGCTGGGTTCATCTGATTGAAGCGGGCGAGACACAGCTCTGTCTGATTGCTGCTATTAATGTTAACTTCAAAGCTGGTAATAATGTGAAGCTAATAATGAGAGAATAATTTATGCAAGAACACTCTGCTCTGAATTACCTGCTCCCTCTGGTTTTCCATTGTTTTCTAAAACAGTAGAGTCTTTCTTCGGCCCTTCATTACCAAAGGGTTTTGTTTGTGCAGGAGCTGAACTGGGCTTTTTCTTTGATGCAAAAAGGTCAGCATCCATATCATCCATGTCCTGTATGAGGACAGACAGAAAAACAACAAGCAAAGCAGGTGAACCTGTGACCACGCACAAACAAACAACAAAAGTGAACTGTGTCTCTGCCTTGTTTATAATGACCTACCTTCATGTTCTTCAGTATGTCATTGGGATCTGCTGCTGAGACATCCGAGTCCTTGGACAGAAATGAAAGAGCAAAGGGGCAACATAATATGCTTAAATAAAAGGGGCTGTGAATGTATACATGTTTCTATGTGTCCCTTCTCACATCTCTGTCTACATACAGTACCTCAGAGTCACCACCATCCTTCTTTACTTCCTCTGCTAGCATGCTGAAGATGTTATCAGTGGCAAAGGAGCTGGGAAAGAAAAATAAATGTAACATATAAAGAGGAATAATTTATAATCGGTGTAATGTTACTGACTCCAACTCCAACTTACCGATTCAAGGGTCCACCACGAGATGCTCTCCCCCTTGCTGAATGTTCTGTTAAGAGAAAATTTTATAACACATGAAACTTTTACAATGATAACACCATTATGATAATGATTATACTGTTTGGTTTAAAACTGCAGAACTGTGCTCACTTACTTTTATCATCAAATAAGCTGTCAAGAACACTGTCATCTCCAAAAGGACCTTGGGAAAACCAAAACTCTGTTACTCTTTAAGTTGCCTTGTTCTTTATGTACTTATGCTACTGATGAATTTTCCTTTTATTCTGTATTAGTACTTTTTGGTATTGCTATTATGTAATTCTTGGTTGTAAATTTAAATACTTCTGCTTCTCTGCTACTTCTGTGTGCTCTGTACATGTAACATTGCTATATTGTTTCTGCATCCTGGTAGGGTGATCCTCCAGATAAACTAAGGGTCTATGGCCAGAGGGTGTCATATTCAGATTGAAAAGCCCTCTGAGACAATGGTGTGAGTTTTGGCGATGTAAAAAAACGTTGACTTGATTTTAAGTTAATTCGTGCAGATGTAAAATAATGCAGTAAGTAAATCTTTGGTGTACAGCATTCAAGTTAAACTGGAGGGACTTACTTTTGGATGGTTTACCCTTCGGCTTTGTAGCCTGTAAATTGCAAGGAAATATAGTGAATTATTTTACAGCTGAAATGGATTAACCTGGCGCAACTCCTGCATCAAAAACAGCAAATCAACTGTATACACACAAGTCAATCGAAAAGTTGCGTTTTGGATTTTCAAGTCTTTCTAACTCTGAAAAGTCAATGAAATATGGACAGTGGCTCCACGTTGACTCACCATGTTGAGTCCTGGCTGGTAACCTTAAGTGAGAGTAGCTAGCTAACGCTAGCTAAATCTGATTAGGCGTCTCCCGTCTCCATTGGTAACCACTCTGCTACACCGGCGAGCGTTCATAAGGACACAACATACGACTATAATAAGTTAATATGGCTACAAATAGTGCTGTTTCATGCTTTCATATGGTTGTTTTTTTCTTCATAGTCGCGACGTTTAGTATTTTAAAATTGTCCAGTTGACTTGAAGTAACGGTAAAATGAATCACACCGCCACAACACACCACATCTATTTAAGGTTGCACGTCATATTGCATACCTAAGCTAATGTCTTGTCTCTAACGCATATTTTACGACTAGAACTAAATACAGGTAACTATAAAGGTAATGGTAATCCACTGGTTTCTGAGCGATTTACTGCAGCAATACCAAAACCGTACCAACCGGCGAAATGTACATTTCCTGTTTACAATCCGCGGTGCATTGTGGGGAAAGTAGGTTTTTTTTTAGCATGCCCTTCAGGGTAACATGTTTCTGAAAAGGTGTTTTGTTTTAGTGTTTAAACGATCAAATTGCTTTTTTGGACTTCTTTTGACATCTCTCCCTGGTTGATTACTTTGAGAAATCTTCCAAACTGGTTTACCACCAGGTGGCATCAGAGCTGAGAAAATTAGCTAAAGCAAATCAGTTACAGCAAAACTGAAGGGCTGAATAATTTATCCTCTGTAGCCTATGTTTAATTCAGTGAGGTCTAGGCCTGATGTTGCACTTTTAATCAGCACAATGAAAACTAGGCAAATCACCCTTCAGTAAGCTCATTGCTCTTTGAGGTTTCAGCTGTCCTGTGTTTCTCCAACTCCATCACCACTAAACAGGCTTTTCAGGTGTGAATTTGTGGCGACAGCATTTCATTTGTACAGTTTTCTTGACAGATTAAAAACAGCAGTGCTAAAACAATCTGTGCTGAGCTATATCTGATTCTGCTCAGTGATGTGTAAACACTCATGCAAGTAGCTAATGATTCATAGTAATTCATTCGATTTTGTAATACATTAAATGGGATAATGTTTTCCCTGGGATTTAATACATAATTGATGTCCTATTTAGGACTTCTTTAAAGTAAAAAGTTGCTAATAACAACAATAATAATAATAATAATAACGATAATAATAATAATAACAATAATAATAATAATACCCTAATATTGATGCAAAATTACAGACAGCAGCACTGTACCTGTATCAACAGAAATCAATAAACCAACCTCACTGACAAGTTAAGACTCAGGAAAATCTTGACTTTGAAGGAGTACTTAATTTACTGTAATGATAGCTGACAGTATTTAAAATGCATTTTGGGGGCAGTTAGCATCACTGACCATTTTAAAGTACAGAAATCTGTGGTGGAATGTAGCCTATACCAATTTGTATAGCTTTAATCAGGGAATTCACAATCTTGAGTAACATTGAGAGGCACACAAATGCATTTCATCGCTTCATTTAGATCACGAGGACAACATAAATCTTTAAACAATTCACAGGATAGCAATACCTGCCATGTACAGTACAATGCATGCCTCCAGTCCCTATTTCAGAAGAAATCAGGTCACTTATAAGATCTTAAGAGAAGCTACTCTTTAAGATACATCCAGTCAAAGCGCACACTGTACTCATACACACAGTTCACACAAACCATTACATTTGTCAAAGCAAGAAAAACATAAAATCAAGGAAATGATTGTGTTTTTTTATGTGGAGGCACAGAACATGTTTTATCATTTCAAACCACATTGAACTTTGAAGTGAAGCAGATGACAATTTAAGCATTCAGTAAACTCAGTTGTTCACATGTCAGGTTTCATCTTCCAAGCTGGGAGTTCACTCAGTTGCTGTTTCCTGTTCTAGTAATGAGAGCATCTGCAGGACAGATAGGGGAAGCCAAATCAAAACCAACCTCACTTTTTCTTTCTTTCTCTTTTTTTTTTTTTTTTTTACTCCTTGTTGGAGAGTCTTGGCGTGAGCTGGTAAGTGCAGATGAATCAGAATGAGATAAAAGAGAAAAAACTAAAAAAGATTACAGGAAACCTTTCCTTTAGTATCCGGGGAAACAAGTCTTGAAAGCAGAGGCCACTGAAAAAAAATTACACAAAACAAATTAAGATTTAGTGCTTTTGAAGTTAGCAAGTAAATACACAATTTCTCCATTTATTTTCTGGTTTACTCTAGGTAAAAAATAGCAAATGACAAAGCTCACCTGGTGCTCACCACCAGACTTGGGATGATGGCCCACTCTGGTCTTAGTTCATGTCTACAAGGGAGGGAGAGCACAAGGGAAGTGAAAGCTGACATGCATCAATGGGTGATGTAAAGAAATAATTGCTCATAAAAAATAAATGACTCTTGACTCAGCTGAATACTTGCCTCCATAAAAGTGATTCAGGTAACAAGTAAAAGATAAGACATCAATGGCCTGTGACCTGCATGAAATCTCCATATAGTAGTCACTAACAATGGTCAGTTAGTTTATTACTTTATGTGAAGGTCTTTCACAGATGCACTAAATGGTGTGGTTGTGGGGTGGTAATGTATTTATAATAACCCTCCAAAGAGATGATGGATTGTTCTGCCTCTGAATCATTTAGTATTAGCGATGTAGCAGGGAG